CGGGACTGGGGGGGCACAGGCAGAGGGGGTGCGTGGGGGTGCGTGGGGGTGCACACGTCTGCATCGCTGTGGGCTGCCTGCTTACGCGTGTCTGTGTGTGTTTGCACACGTGTGTGCAAGGAGCGTGCACGCGTGTGAGGCTGGGGGCGGGCCTTGTCACCCCAGGGTGCTGGGGGGACACACACACGGTGTCGCCCCGGGGTGCTGGGGGCACCCCAGGGTGCGGGGGGGATGGCGGTGTCACCCAAGGGTGCAGGGGGACCAGGGCTCCCCAGGGTGCAGGGGGCACTGGGGCACCCCAGGGTGCTGGGGGCCCCCCAGGATGCACAGGGGACGGTGTCACCCCAGGGTGCTGGGGACACTCGGGCACCCCTGGGTGCTTGGGGCCCCCAGAGTGCAGAGGGGACTGGGGCACCCCAGGGTGAAGGGGGACTGGGGCACCCCTGGGTGCTGGGGGCCCCCCAGGGTGCAGAGGGGACGGTGTCACCCCAGGGTGCTGGGGACACTCGGGCACCCCTGGGTGCTGGGGACCCCCCCAGGGTGCAGAGGGGACGGTGTCACCCCAGGGCGAAGGGGGACTGGGGCACCCCTGGGTGCTGGGGACCCCCCCAGGGTGCAGAGGGGACGGTGTCACCCCAGGGTGAAGGGGGACTGGGGCACCCCTGGGTGCTGGGGACCCCCCCAGGGTGCAGAGGGGACGGTGTCACCCCAGGGTGAAGGGGGACTGGGGCACCCCTGGGTGCTGGGGACCCCCCCAGGGTGCAGAGGGGACGGTGTCACCCCAGGGTGAAGGGGGACTGGGGCACCCCTGGGTGCTGGGGACCCCCCCAGGGTGCAGAGGGGACGGTGTCACCCCAGGGTGAAGGGGGACTGGGGCACCCCTGGGTGCTGGGGACCCCCCCAGGGTGCAGAGGGGACGGTGTCACCCCAGGGTGAAGGGGGACTGGGGCACCCCTGGGTGCTGGGGACCCCCCCAGGGTGCAGAGGGGACGGTGTCACCCCAGGGTGAAGGGGGACTGGGGCACCCCTGGGTGCTGGGGACCCCCCCAGGGTGCAGAGGGGACGGTGTCACCCCAGGGTGAAGGGGGACTGGGGCACCCCTGGGTGCTGGGGACCCCCCCAGGGTGCAGAGGGGACGGTGTCACCCCAGGGTGAAGGGGGACTGGGGCACCCCTGGGTGCTGGGGACCCCCCCAGGGTGCAGAGGGGACGGTGTCACCCCAGGGTGAAGGGGGACTGGGGCACCCCTGGGTGCTGGGGACCCCCCCAGGGTGCAGAGGGGACGGTGTCACCCCAGGGTGAAGGGGGACTGGGGCACCCCTGGGTGCTGGGGACCCCCCCAGGGTGCAGAGGGGACGGTGTCACCCCAGGGTGAAGGGGGACTGGGGCACCCCTGGGTGCTGGGGACCCCCCCAGGGTGCAGAGGGGACGGTGTCACCCCAGGGTGAAGGGGGACTGGGGCACCCCTGGGTGCTGGGGACCCCCCCAGGGTGCAGAGGGGACGGTGTCACCCCAGGGTGAAGGGGGACTGGGGCACCCCTGGGTGCTGGGGACCCCCCCAGGGTGCAGAGGGGACGGTGTCACCCCAGGGTGAAGGGGGACTGGGGCACCCCTGGGTGCTGGGGACCCCCCCAGGGTGCAGAGGGGACGGTGTCACCCCAGGGTGAAGGGGGACTGGGGCACCCCTGGGTGCTGGGGACCCCCCCAGGGTGCAGAGGGGACGGTGTCACCCCAGGGTGAAGGGGGACTGGGGCACCCCTGGGTGCTGGGGACCCCCCCAGGGTGCAGAGGGGACGGTGTCACCCCAGGGTGAAGGGGGACTGGGGCACCCCTGGGTGCTGGGGACCCCCCCAGGGTGCAGAGGGGACGGTGTCACCCCAGGGTGAAGGGGGACTGGGGCACCCCTGGGTGCTGGGGACCCCCCCAGGGTGCAGAGGGGACGGTGTCACCCCAGGGTGAAGGGGGACTGGGGCACCCCTGGGTGCTGGGGACCCCCCCAGGGTGCAGAGGGGACGGTGTCACCCCAGGGTGAAGGGGGACTGGGGCACCCCTGGGTGCTGGGGACCCCCCCAGGGTGCAGAGGGGACGGTGTCACCCCAGGGTGAAGGGGGACTGGGGCACCCCTGGGTGCTGGGGACCCCCCCAGGGTGCAGAGGGGACGGTGTCACCCCAGGGTGAAGGGGGACTGGGGCACCCCTGGGTGCTGGGGACCCCCCCAGGGTGCAGAGGGGACGGTGTCACCCCAGGGTGAAGGGGGACTGGGGCACCCCTGGGTGCTGGGGACCCCCCCAGGGTGCAGAGGGGACGGTGTCACCCCAGGGTGAAGGGGGACTGGGGCACCCCTGGGTGCTGGGGACCCCCCCAGGGTGCAGAGGGGACGGTGTCACCCCAGGGTGAAGGGGGACTGGGGCACCCCTGGGTGCTGGGGACCCCCCCAGGGTGCAGAGGGGACGGTGTCACCCCAGGGTGAAGGGGGACTGGGGCACCCCTGGGTGCTGGGGACCCCCCCAGGGTGCAGAGGGGACGGTGTCACCCCAGGGTGAAGGGGGACTGGGGCACCCCTGGGTCCGCACCTCCGGCCTGCCACACCCGCACAGCTGGAGTGGGGGTGTGTGTGTGTGTGTGTGTGTCACCGTCACACCCACAGCTGGATCATGGGGGTCACTGTTACACCCACAGCTGGATCCCAGGGATCACCCTCACACCCACAGCTGGATCATGAGGGTAACTGTTACACCCACAGCTGGATCACAAGGATAACCATCACACCCACAGCTGGATTGTGGGGGTCACTGTTACGCCCACAGCTGGATCCCAGGGATCACCATCACACCCACAGCTGAATCCCAGGGGTCACTGTTACACCCACAGCTGGATCGGGGGTCACCATCACACCCACAGCTGCATTGCAGGGGTCACTGTTAACCCACAGCTGGATCCCAGGGACCACTGTTACACCCACAGCTGGATGGCGAGGGTCACCCTCACGCCCACGGCTGGATCCCAGGCATGGCTGCGCCTGGCTCCCACCAGGGCCTGGCCGGGGAGGCGGGGGGCAGCGGGGTGGGTGCGGTGCCGGGGGCCGGCTGCCGTTTTGCCGTGGGAGGGGAGAGGGCAGTGGCGGGCGCGCCCCACCGGGGCGGGGGGCCG